GTATATTGTTCTCATTTTTTAGGGCTATTTTCTCAGTCTTCGTGGTGGATTTTACTAGTCCAGCGATTCTGTCTCCTGCAGAATCTGAGATTCGATTTTCTGTATGATCTAGTCTGCTTTTAATACTTACAGAGGAGGTTTTAACTTCTTGTGTTATAGCCTTCATCTCCAACAGTTTCATTTGATTATATTTTTATGGTGTGTATTTTCTCTTTCAGCTCTCGCAAGAATTTCCTCACCTTCTGGAACTCATCAGCCTTTTTCTTCTGGTGTTCACTGTCTCTCTCTTCTCTTCCATCTCTGTTAACTTCGTTACTATGAATACTCTAAATTCTTTATCAGACATTTCCATGAGTTCCATTGTACTGTCTGTGGATGATGAAGAGTTATTCTTTTCCCTTGGGGAAGAAGTATTATCTTGGTTTCGCATATTTCTTGTGCCCCTGTGGTGATTTCTAGTCATCTGATGGGTTATTCATTTCTCTCTAATTTCTAGAAGATCAATCTGAGCGATCAGAGGTGTACAGGAGAATGTGGTCAGCAAGCTCTTTGGCATTGCATTTTTCTCCCTTTGTGTGGCAGATTCAGTGGGAGTTAAGGAATATGAGAACCCAAATAGTATTCTGATTTTGGCAACTTTTCACTTAGACCTGTCTAGACACTCAGTGTGTGGAGGCAGGGTGACTTCTTAGTAGAGCATCTTCATTGCTTTTATCCCTGAAATCACTAGATCTCAGCTCTCATGGTGCAAGCCCTTCTTCTCTAAAACAATCTCATGGTGGCCACTTGGTCTAAACAACTTTATCACCAGTTTCTTTCTTTTTTTTTTTTTTTTTAGATTTTGCTATAGGGCGTGTGCACTTGCCAGAAAAACAGAGAGAAACAGAGAAAAAGTGAGAAATCACCCCCCAGGGGGGATGACCAAGCTGCAGTCCCTTCTCCTCCATTCTCCTCTCGGGATCTTGGGCATGCACGCACATGTACCCGGCGTGAGTTTAAGCCACTGGGTCTAGGACTCTAACCACAGTTGACTATGTGGGAGTTCAGCGACATAGCCATTACACTAATTGCTGGTCCCTATCATCAGTTTCTTCAGAAATCACTCTCCTCATGGATTTCAGGATTATGGTCCACATAAAAAAAAAGCAAACCCTGAGAGTTCCGCCTCTTCAAGCTCCAACTCCAACTCTCATGGATACTACCATTCCTTCACAATTGTTTTTCCTTAATGTATTCATGAGACACATTTTCTGACTTAAGTTAACAGTTCCAAATTAGATTGCCTAAAAGACTGAATGGTTTCTACTTTAAGTACGTAGAAGTTTCGCTAGTCTTAGTAGTCTTAAGAAACTTACCAGAGCCAGTTTGGTGCTTGTGTTTTAGTTTGATCTTTTGTTTTGTGAGCTATACATCTGGGACTCTGCATTCAACAAAATATTCTTCAGACTTTTTATCAGCTTGACGGGGTGTGCCTCTGTTTGAGCGTGATGTTCATTGAACATCTTAAGTTGGAAAATTTCTCTCCCATTTTATTTGGGAAATTTTCAGTCATTTCTTTTTTTTAAATTCTTTTATTTAACTCTATTTATTTATTTATTTTAATTTGACAAGAGAGGGACAGAGAGAGAGAGAGAGTAAGAGAGAGGGAAAGTGAGAAAGCAAGCCTCTAGGTCCAGGACTCGAACCATGTCAGCCATGTGGGAGTCCAGCGCCCTTAACCATCATGCTTCTTGCCAGCACCAATCATGATTTCTTCAGGTAAGATTTTATCCCTATTCTCTTCTCCCATTTCTTGTTATTTGAATCGCACATATGTTGAAGCATTGGGCATAACCTAATAGGTTTCAGAACTGCTTATCTCTTACAAAACCTTTTTATCTTTTTGTTCTTTTTCTTGGATAATTTTAATCTATTTTCAAGTTTTTCATTTGAGACTTTAAGTCTTTGAAATCATACTTTAATTCATTGGGGATTGTTATAGTCATTGCTTTGAAATTATTGCCTGTTATTTCTAATATCTGGCTCGTCCTGGGGATGGCTCGCTTGGTTTTCTTCTGAGAGTGTATTCCATTTTTTTGTGTCTTTCTGTTTATTGGGTAATTTGCATTGTATGTAAGATATGATGTATGCTACTCTGGAGAGTCTGTACCCTGCTATTTCTCTCCAGTATGTATTGCTTCCTTTGTCTTTTTTTTTTTTTTTTCGGTTGTAGAGAGATTTTTGTTGTAGATCAGGTGCACTCACTGGAGACAGAGCGAGAAAGTGAGAAACCACACTCGGGAGCAGTTCCTTCTCCATTCTCCTCTTGGGATTTTTTGGCATGCTAGCACATGCACCCGGCATGAGTTTTAAGCCACCAGGTCCGGAGCTCAAACTGCTGTTGACCATGTGGGGTCCAACGCTTTAATTATCACACCACCGGCTGGTCTCGGTATTGCTTCCTTTGTCTTAGCTCAGATTTTCATGGTGGACTTTGAGCTGTAGACTTCGCTTCTTGGGTGTCAGCTCTGACGGCAGTTCAAATCTTTTGTCTTCAGTTGAGCTGCTTTAAGTCTGTTCTGTACATGTATGTGTCAGGGGTTGGTCAGAGATGAGAATAGATAGAATGTGGCTCCCTTTCAGGGTCAGAGCAGGTTGCATGGTGGTTAAGATGCTGGAGTTTCAAGTCCCAGTCTTGATGGTTTGCTTTCTGTCTCTCTGTCTCTCCCTGGTGAGTGCATGTGCCCTATAGAAAATTTAAAAATAATATAAAACATAAAATAAGGAAAGAAAGTAAGAAAGAAAGAATTTGGTCCCCTTTATTGCTCCCTGTTTTCTGAAATTCTCGCCCTTCTCTTTAGTATTCATGATTTTCCAGCTTCACGTTTCTGCTTCCCCAGCGCAGAAAAACTGTTTTTCTTCTGTCCTGTGGGTTCTCTAATTGCCGTTGGGCCTGAAGCACAGACTGTATTAGCCTCAGATGAAACCTGCAGTGGTAGGGACCTACTTGTTTATTCCCTGATTCCCCTCCTTTCGGCAAGCGAAACCCTCACACAGAGCCTGCCTACTTCTGTCACCACTCCTTTAGGTGGTGGCTTTTCAGTCTGTCCAGGTTGTATAGTTCTTTTCTGTAAGAGAGTTCATCCAGCAGGTTCTTAGTCCATCATACCCGAGTGGAAATTCATGTTTTAGTTTTGAAGTAATTCTAAGAACAAACTGATTTGGTTATGCTATCTTAACCTTATTTATTGTCTTTTTACAATTAAAAAAAAATCACAAGTGAACCAACCCTGTAACACAGTAGCTTAGTGATATACATAGGGACTGATTGTGGTTCAAATCCCGGCCCCAGTGGCTTGGAAAACATGCCGGGTGAGCATGTGTGCATGCCTAAAACCTGGTGGGGTGGAGAAATGGAAGAAAAAGGATTGAGGGGATTCTTTCTCTCTTTCTCTGATGAGCACATGTGCTCTTTGGCTTTTAAAATAAGAAAAGGATTGCAAGTCTTTTGTGACATTTATAGATGCATGCAAACAGTGAGGAGGATTATGAGGTTCACAGATATTTTATTGAGTAGCAACTTTGACCTAAATATTGAGTCAAGCACAGATGATAGAAAAATAAGGCACACTGCTCACAAAGAGCTTAAAATCTGATGGAAACAGAAAGGGAAGACTCGGTCTCACTGCCACGTGCTAAGCTGAACTTGTTTCTGTGCTTGTGCTTGGGGAATACTTGCTTGTAGACAGAGAAAGAAATTGTGAGCTTGGTGATTTGATCTGGAGTGAACTATTTCGGCATGATTCTTTTCAGCATTTGACGGGTCTTGGTTACAGGCTTGATGAAAGTAGCTTTCTTGAGAGCAGAGCCTGTCTCTTTTGTTTTTGGTCCTAGAGCTTAGCCTAGTCTTTCTTAACCAAGAAATATTGGTTGATTCATGGAACTGTTTATTTTTATAAATCCGTGGGCTCATTAGCATTTTCCTAAGTGCTCTCGTTTTGTAATAGTCTGCTATAGGGCACATTGTGTGCACCGCAGAGGCGGAGAAAGTGAGAAATGACCCCCTCAGGGCGTGGCCACGCTGCAGACCCTTTTCCTCCATTTTCCTCTCAGGATTTTGGGCACATACACACATGCACCTGGTGTGTTTTTGAAACTGCTGGGTCTAGGACTTGAACTGTGCTGTTGGGGTCCAGCTACCCCAGCTGACCCTCCTAAGTACTATCAAAAATAGAAAATCACAGGGCAAAAACCCTTTAAAAATGACCTAACTGTCATAAAACTTTTCTTAGAACTGTTCAAACAAGACAGTTTTTTTTTTTGGGGGGGGAGAGGTTTTTGCTATAGGGCGTGTGCGTGCGCTCATCAGAAAGACAGAGAGAGACAAAGAAACAGAAAACAGGAAATCACCCCCCGGGGGCATGACCTTGCTGCAGTCACTTCTCCATTCTCCTCTTGGGATCTTGGGCACGCACGCACCTGTGCCCGATGTGTTTAAGTGAGTCCGGGACTCGAACCGCGGCAACTACATGGGAGTTCAGTGACATAGGCGTTACACTAACTGCTGGTCCCAAGCCATACAGTTTTAAAATTGTTCTTTGTGCTCTCAAAGATTGATTAGAGAGAGGAAAAGATGATTGGAAACTGAGAAACACTTGAAGAAATGTTCTTTCTTAGTAGCTTATGTGCTCTAGGTGGGGAACAGAGTGAGAGTTCACCGTGCCAGGACAGGGACAGGGACAGAAAGGACGCGATGGATTCAGCTGGGAACGCGCTCACGGCTGAGGCCCATCTGGGTCCGTGATGAGTGACGTCCAGGAAGCAGGGCAGTGGTGAGAAGCAGGCTGCCGAGGTGGGACAGACGCTCAGCTGGGAAGAGGATCTAAAGGACAGAGAAGGTGCAGCCGTCACTGAGAGGGGCAGTCCACCCTGAGACTAGGAGGAGAGAGCTGGAAAAGGTTCCGCGGAACCCAGAACATCACATGATGTGTCGTTCCTCACCATCTCTTTGTCTAACCCAGAACTTTTTAGAAAAATCGACGGAAAGGGAAACCCGCCAGGAGTACGCGCTGGCCATGATCCAGTGCAAAGTGCTGAAGCAGCTGGAGAACCTGGAGCAGCAGAAGTACGACGATGAGGACATCAGCGAGGACATCAAGTTCCTGCTGGAGAAGCTGGGCGAGAGCGTCCAGGACCTCAGGTGTGGCGCGCTTTCTTCCTCTCATGCCGGTCCGCTGGGCTTTGTTTCGCACGCGTAGCACTGTGAGAAGATCTGAACGTGTTTCGGCCTGTGCGTGAGTCGGGATTTCTCCGGAACGTGTTCAGTCTTTGATGAAGACATCAGCCTTCCTGGGCAACAGTTGGTCAGAGCTGCGTGTTACTTGTTCTTACTCAGAAATATTTCCCGCGCTTTCTGTTGTCTAAAATCAGAGCTGCCTTCTCTCCGGATGTTGGCCTCACCCTGGGACTCCTTGGAGGTCTTCTTAAATAGCAGTGGTAGTTTGTTAACTTGCAAAGGAGGTTGCCCATATGTGGAGAGAGTGTTTTTCTCTGTTTTATATTTTTATTTTTTTTATTATTTTTAGGGGGGAGGGGGATTCTATACACTCAATTTTATTTTTATTTTTTTATATTCAAAACTTTTAAATAATGTAAACACAATGGAGGCCAAAACCCTTGTAGAGTGTGGAAGGACTCCACACCACATCCACTCCCCTCCCTGCCAAGTCCTGTTTCCCTTTGGTTTCCTGTGTTTGCACCTGAACAGCCTCCTAGCTGCTCTCCCTGCCTGCCTCCCACCCCACCTTCCACAGGGTTCACATATGCTGGGTCTTTTCTGTTTAGTAATATCTTGATGCTCTTCCCATTTGTGTGTGTGTGTGTGTGTGTTTGGGTTTTAACTGTAGTACACACGAGCTTGCTGTCTAGAGACAGACAGAGAGTGGGAAAGTCAGACTCACCCCCCCATGGGGAGGGGGTGGCCACACCGTAGTCCCTTTTCCTCCATCGTCCTCTCAGAATTTGGGGCATGTGCCCAGCGTGATTTTCAACCCACTAGGTCCTGGACCTGAACTGCAGTTGGCCATGTGGATGTTCAGCACCTTGAGCTCCATACCACCTGCTGGACTCATTCTTTGTTTTTAAACTGTTGACATTTAAAAAAATTTAAATTACGTATTTATTTCTTCCGAGAGAGAGAGAGAGAGAGAGAGAGAGAGAGAGAGAGAATATGGGGAAAGAGAAGGGAGGAAAGATAGGGAAAGAGAAGAGGACCTTCAGCAGGGTCTTCATGCTGCAGTCTACACCCTGTCTCAGCCCGCTCACATCACTGGCATATGTGCACATGTCCAGGTGCTCAGGGAGTCTTTGGGATGTCCACCCATGGACCTTCCCCACGTGGCTTGAGTTGTGGTACCACTGTGCCACCACCTGACTCTTGACTTTTTATTTTTTTATTTTTTTGAGAGATTTTCGCTATAGGGCACGTGCACTCCCAGACAGACAGAGAGAAACATAGAGACAGAAAGTGAGAAATCACCCCCCAGGGGGGATGGTCACGCCGCAATCCCTTCTCCTCCATTCTCCTCTCGGGATCTTGGGCACACACGCACACGCGCCCAGCGTGAGTTTTTAAGCCACCGGGTCCGAGACGCGAACCGCTGTCGACCACGTGGGAGTCCAGCGACATAGCCATTACGCTAACTGCCGGTTCCCTTGACTTATTTTTAAAAGAGCCATTCTGTAGGATAAACGTTTCTCCATAGATGGACTAGGGTTTGAGAACCAGGCTGAATTCGATTTGAGTTATTCCACTACTTTCTCTTTGTGTAGCATGCACAAAATTCTTCATTTTTTCCAAGACTGTTTTCCTTTGCTATATAGTAGGAAAAATGTGAACCTTGCAGGATTTCTTATGAAGTTCTAGCAGCTCAGAAAGTAGACCTAATTCCAAGGTTCAGAAGATTTAATACAGATAGGAGGTGTTATCTCTATCAGTTGTTTGTAATGGAGTTTTGTGTAGGGAGGCAAATGATTTTTGTCATTTTCTGTTTTCAAATAAGGATACTTTTATTGTACTATAATAGGCAATAAGCTTTGTAGTTACAAATTTTATTATAGTTACTTTTAAAACTGGTAAGTTCTTCTGTACTAATTATTTAAGACCTGTTTTTTTTTAATTTAAATTTATTTATTTACATTCATTCACTGTACTTCATTACAGCATACAAAATGAGATTTCCCATCCAGAGTACACTGCATATTGTCTCAATCAAGCACGTCAACATACGTGTTATCGTCAACAAATAATTTTCCATTTCTTGTATGTTTTGCTTTTTTTCCCCATCCTTGATTCCCTATTTCTTTTTTGGGGGTGGGGTGGGGAGAGATTTTCACTATAGGGCGCGTGCGCTCACCAGATAGAGAGAGACATAGAGACAGAAAGTGAGAAATCACCCCCCGGGGGGATGGTCACGCCGCAATCCCTTCTCCTCCATTCTCCTCTGGGGATCTTGGGCACACACGCACATGCGCCCGGCGTGAGTTTTAAGCCACTGGGTCTGGGACGCGAACTGCGGTCGACTACATGGGAGTCCAGCGACATAGCCATTACGCTAACTGCTGGTTCCCGATTCCCTATCTCTTACCCTCTGCCATCTCCCACTCTCCTCCCACACTGTCTCTGGGATCTATGTTTGTTTTCTATACTTTCCCCCCCCCACATTTTATTGAGTCACTAAAGATCTTAATTAATCTAAATATTTTCATAGCTAGCACTGCTGATATATACATTTCTGTGAACACAAGCCCAACTTTAGGCATGAGCCTCAGTGAGTAGAATGAACATCCTATAAAGTAGCACCTAGCTGGGGCTATATATCTTACTGCAGTCATCGAGTAAAATATTTTTAATGCATTTTATTTTTAATTTCAAGAAAAACAGTTTTAGTTTTTTGTTTTCCTGAACCTTTTCTTTTTTTTAACTTGATTTACATTCATTCCTTAAGCATCGTCACAGCATACAAAATGTGATTTCCCATCCAGAATATACTGCATAGTGGCTTAATTGTGCGTTATTATAAAAAATTTTCCATTTCTAGTTTCTAGTATTTTTGTTTTTACCCCTGTTTTTGACCCTCTTTCCTTTCCCACCCTCTCCTCACAGTATCTCCGGTGTCTACAGTTGTCTTCCATTCCTTTCCCCCCCACATTGTATTGATCACACAATTTCTTACATAATCTAACTACTTTCAATAGCAAGTTCACTTGGTACTATTAAGAAAACCAGTTTTAACTTAGATCAAAGAAATGCTAAAGAAACTTTGCTTAAAACTTAAAGCCAGGAAACAGGTTAGGATACTGTTCACATGGTAGGTACATGAACCTATCCATATCTCAAGACAGGACACAAATACTTACACCCAGATAACAAAGTCTACAAGAAAATCAGCAATGTTTTAGTCAAAAGCCATAAAATTATACTTCACCAATTCAGTCTCATGTACTTTATTTTCTGTTGTGGGTCAATTTTCCCTATTAAATTCTGGGATATAATATTCCACTCCAGACTTGTCCCTATGATTAAGTTGGCCATTTTCTTAGTTTTTGAACTCTTATTTCTGTGTGTCTGCATTTAATTTTCCTGATACAGCACACCCATGAGAACTTGGAGATCTGGTCTGGTGCTGGTAAATTCTTTCAGGTTTTGTTTATCTGAGAATGTTCTTGTCTTTTCTTCAAGGCCTGTTTTTGTCTTTCAAGATTAATAATGGTTAGTTTTCTAAATGATTTAATTTATCTTAGCCAAATACTATTATTTATTAATTTTCAACTTGAATTTGCTAATTTGAAAGACATCGTTACATACATAAAGCTCATAGGGTGATGGGTGCAGCCAAATGAGGTTTGTCTGTTTTTATTGTTACATGTTTAAGGTATGAATGTTAAAAATACCATTTCATGAGGGACCAGCAATTAGCGTAATGGCTATGTTGCTGGACTCCCATGTAGTGGACCACGATTTGAGTCTCGGACCTGGTGGCTTAAACTCACGCCGGGCGCGTGTGCGTTCGTGTCCAAGATCCTGAGAAGAGAATGAAGGAGAAGGGATTGTGGCGTGGCCATCCCCCCCGGGGGGGGGTGATTTCTCGCTTTCTATCTCTCTGTCTCTCTCTGTCTTTCTGGTGAGCGCATGCGCCCTATAGCAAAAAAAAAAAAAAAAAAACAAAAAACTCTCCAAAAAAAAAAAAACTATTTCACTTAGATTTTCTCTCTTCTAGAGAGAGGCAGACATATGCACAGACAGGAACCCTCCAGGGCCCACCATACTTTGATCTTCTCCCCACCAAGACACACCAGTGTGTTCAAGTTGACCTGGGATCCAAACCCTGGGCCTTCCCATAGGCTCCAGTCATGCCACAGTGCCCTATTACCTCTGCCACTGCAGCTGTGCCCCTAGTTTACTCCTATACTCACTGGTCCTACGCTCAAGTAAATTCCTGTGTTATACAAAGAGGATACTCTGACCAACCTACACTCAGTACATCCTGGTTGCGTTGAATTACCAGTCAGCATTTAAAGGGCTGCATGTCTTTTTAATCAGTCCAGGAGGAAAGTGCAAACATGTACTGACACTGTGCTTATCTGCTGGCAAGCCACATTAAACATTTCCATATTGTAAAGCGTTGAATAATTATGATACTCTACATAGTGAAAGGTTTTTAATTAGAGTACATTGTAGCTTGTTATATACACAAAGTTTTACATTTTAATTAATTTCTAATGGAGTAATTGGGCTAGTAAGTGTGCCGTGCTGGTAGTCAAGCTGTGAAATATTATGCTGGTACTTGTGATTTTGTGATGCCTTATCATGGCTTATGGTATTTATAGTGTGATAGTATTAGAAGACACAGTTTCATTTTCTGTTAAATACTGTGCTTTTACATATGTGTTCACTAATCCATGAGTGGTCTGGTGAATGCAGCATTTCACATGTCATGCTAGAAATTTTTGATCGAGACAAACCTGGAGAAAATCATGCAAGTGAAATAAATCAGGTTGTAAGAGACACACACTGTATGGCCTCTGGCTGCAGGGGAAGCTAGAGATGGAATTGCCCAGAAGAGGAGGTGGGGCAGTGATGCATAGCTGGGAAGGGGAGGGAGAGAGCTGGATCGGAGGTAGAGAAGCGAGGTGGGTGAGGGGACAAGCCGGAGAGCGTGTGCCACCGTGAGGACAGTGCATGAGGGTGCGGTATGTACTCCCACAGTTAGGAGAGTGGGTGAGGGCGCGGCGTGTACTCCCACAGTTAGGAGAGTGGTGAGGGTGCGACGTGTACTCCCACAGTTAGGAGAGTGGGTGAGGGTGCTCGCTCAGTTAAGAGAGTGTGTGAGGGCGCGGCGTGTACTCCCACAGTTAGGAGAGTGGGTGAGGGTGCGACGTGTACTCCCACAGTTAGGAGAGTGCGTGAGGGTGTGGCGTGTACTCCCACAGTTAGGAGAGTGGGTGAGGGTGCGGTGTGTACTCCCACAGTTAGGAGAGTGCGTGAGGGTGTGGCGTGTACTCCCACAGTTAGGAGAGTGCGTGAGGGTGCTGCGTGTACTCCCACAGTTAGGAGAGTGCATGAGGGCGCAGTATGTACTCCCACAGTTAGGAGAGTGCGTGAGGGCGCGGCATGTACTCCCACAGTTAGGAGAGTGCATGAGGGCGCGGTGTGTACTCCCACAGTTAGGAGAGTGGGTGAGGGCGCGGCGTGTACTCCCACAGTTAGGAGAGTGGGTGAGGGTGTGGCGTGTACTCCCACAGTTAGGAGAGTGTGTGAGGGTGTGGCGTGTACTCCCACAGTTAGGAGAGTGTGTGAGGGCGCGGTGTGTACTCCCACAGTTAGGAGAGTGGGTGAGGGTGTGGCGTGTACTCCCACAGTTAGGAGAGTGTGTGAGGGTGTGGCGTGTACTCCCACAGTTAGGAGAGTGTGTGAGGGTGTGGCGTGTACTCCCACAGTTAGGAGAGTGTGTGAGGGCGCGGCGTGTACTCCCACAGTTAGGAGAGTGGGTGAGGGTGCGGCGTGTACTCCCACAGTTAGGAGAGTGCGTGAGGGTGCGGTGTGTACTCCCACAGTTAGGAGAGTGGGTGAGGGTGCGGTGTGTACTCCCACAGTTAGGAGAGTGGATTCGGGAGGGGCACACACAAAGTAACATACGTATTTCAGCTGCTGGATGTGTTTGTTACCCCGATTTGGCCAGTATACAATGTAAACATGTTTTGAAAAACCACACTCTGTCTCATAAATGAGTACAAACTATTATATGTAAATCTAAAACAGTAATAGTAAAATGTAGAACAGACAAATTCTGACAGGTCATCTTATTGTTTACTGATGTGCTTTCATATAGTTTGGAATAAGGATTTTCAAAGCTCATTTTATATCTCATGCAGACATGGAAATTTTACAGCATCGTTATACCTTAATATCTTGAAAAGAAATTGACATGATTTGTTGGAGGTTCTTTAAACTGCTTAAACTTTTAAAAAAAATTTTATTTATTCATTCATTTAATTTTTACCAGAGAGAGAGAGGGAGAAAGTGAGAAAGCAAGCCACCGGGTCTGGGCCTAGAACCATATGGGAATGTCCAGCGCCTTAACCATCACGCCACCTGCTGGCCCACCTTTTCTAGCAGTAGTTTCTTAATGTACAAAGGATGGTCAGTCTTTGTAATTAAGTCATCATGAAGATGTTTTATTTTGCTTTATTTTGGAGAACTCTCAGATTCTTGTAAACTCTGAATTCTTTAAACATCTTTGCAGCTCATTCGATGAATACAGTTCAGAACTTAAATCTGGAAGGTTGGAATGGAGTCCCGTGCACAAATCTGAGAAATTCTGGAGAGAGAATGCTGTGAGGTTAAATGAGAAGAATTACGAACTCTTGAAGTAAGTTGTTATTTCGCTTTACACCCTTTACTTATTTTGTCTTCACGAGTGCGACCACGCACAGTAGAGACAGACGGAGGGAGGGAGGGTGGGGGGGCACCGTCCACAGGTCTGGACACTGCGATCCCTTTCCTCTAGCCTGAGCCCATGGGATCATGGGTACTCGCGTGCGTGCTTGTGTGTCAGGCTCACTGGGCTGGGGATCTGAACTGTGGTTGCCATGTGCAATCCAGTTTCTCTTGAGCAATCTATTATGAATGTCCCATATAGCTGGCCCCCATTTTATACTCTTAATACCTGTTACTCCAAATCCTTACCTACACTTGCTTTTAGGTATTGTATGGTTTCAGTGCGTATTTGCTTGCGGATTAACGTGGTTGAATACCTTTTCATATGGCCGTGGCCATTTGAGCATCTTGGAGAAGTGCCTGTTCAGGTCATCCTGTTTTTCTTTTCCATTTTATAGTTCTGTTTGTTTTCTGAATAGGAGTTCTTTGTCACGTGTGTATATATTCATTGCAGCTATTTTTGTCCCACCTTGTTGCATGCCATTTTGTTCTTTAATAGTGTCTTGATGAATAGAAGCTCTTAATTTTAATGTAACTCAATTTATTAATCTTTCCTTGTATGGCTAGTATGTCATGGTTAGGATGTTTTTACCTGCCAGGGTCTCGAAGATCACTTTCTGTTATTTTCTAGAAGTTTTATTGTTTAACTTCTTACATTTAGATTTATAGGCCATCTGGAATTGATTTGGGGGTAAGGTTTATAAAGTAGGGGTAAAAATTCATTCTTTTTCTTACATGATTATTTAATTGAACTAGCACCATTTATTAAAAATAACCTTTCCTCCAGGGCTCTGCAGGTTTACCATTTTTTTAAAATAATAAGTTATGATGACCAAATATGTGCAAGTATCTTTCTTTTTTAGTGTGCTATAATTCACATACTATACAATGAATCTATTTAAAGTATACAGCTCAGTGGTTGGTATATTCCCAGGTGTGTGCAATCAACATAATTTTAGAACATTTTTATCACTTCAAAAGGAAATCCTGTATACTTCAGCTGTTAACCTTTCTATCCATCAGTCCACCCAGCCAGCCTTGAGCAATCACTAACCTACTTTCTCTCTCCATGGATTTTCCTGTTATAGAATTGGGAATATAAATGAAGCCATGTCCAGTTTTCTCTTTCTCTCTCTCTCTCTCTCTCTCTGTGTGTGTGTGTGTGTGTGTGTGTGTCTGGCTTCTTTTGTTTACCATAATGTGTTCCAGGTTTATTCCTCCAGTAACATTTATAGTACCTCATTATATGGTTGAATAATATTCTGTTGTGTAGATAAGATCACATTTTATTTTTTTACTTATCAATTCATGGACATTTGAGTAATTTATACCTTTTGGTCATTATGAATAATGCTGCCAAATCATGGTTACTGTACTAGTTCTTGTTGGACACTTTTTTTTTTTTTTTTTAATTTGCCAGAGGGTATGTGTGCTTGCCTGAGAGAGACAGGAGGGAAGTGAGAAAACACCTTCCATGGGCCATAGTCAAGTTGTAGTCCCTCCTTCTTGGTTGTGTTGGGACGTGGGGCATGCACACACATGCACCTGGTGTGTTTCTCAAGCCACCAGATCCAGACTCAAACCATGAAGTCAGCCATGTGGCATCCACCTGCCTTAATCACCATGCCACACGTTGAGTCTTGAACATGGGTTTTATTTCTCTTGCTTGGGTGGTTATCTAGAAGTGTCCTAGGGTAACTTTATGTTTAACTGTTTGAGGAACCAGACTGTTTTCTAAAGGGCATGCACAATTTTATATGCCCTCGAGCAGTGAATGAGAGTTCTGATTTCTCCACCTGCTTGCTTTCCCTTGTTATAATCTGACCTTTGATTCTAGCCATCTTAGTGGGCGTGCAGTAGTATGTCATTTTGGTTTCTGTGTATGTTTCTTGATAGTTAATGATGTCAAACATTTTTTCATAGGCTTATTGGCTATTTATTTATCTTTTTTGGAAAATGCTGTTCAAATCCTTGGTTCATTTGTAAATTGGATTGCCTTTTTATTACTTAGTTGTAAAGGTTTCTTAATGTATTCTGGGTACAGCTCTCTGATCATATATATGACTTGTAAATATTCCATTCCATTTTCTGGATGGTCATCTCCCTTTCTTTCTCTCTCCTTTTTTTTTTTTTTTGGCTATAGGGCGCGTGCGCTCACCAGAAAGACAGAGAGAGACAGAGACAGAAAGTGAGAAATCACCCCCAGGGGGGATGGCCATGCCACAATCCCTTCTCCTCCATTCTCCTCTCGGGATCTTGGGCACGCACACACATGCGCCCGGCATGAGTTTAAGCCACTGGGTCCGGGACTTGAACCACAGTTGACTATGTGGGAGTCCAGCAACATAGTCATTATGCTAACTGCTGGTCCCTCCCTTTCTTGATAATGCTCTTTGAGGCACATAGGTTTTCAAATTTTGATCAAGCCCAGTTTGGTTTTTTTTTTTCTTTTTTTTTTTGTGCTTTTGGTGTTATTCTAAAGAATCCATTGTGAAAACTAAGGTTATGCAGATTTACTGCTATGTTTCTCTAATGTGGGTTTAGCTGTTAGTTTGGATCTTTCACCCATGTTAACTTTTTTATATGGTGTGAGGTAAGGGTCCAACTTTGTTCTTTTGCATGTGGCTGTGAAGTTATCTCGGTATCATTTGTTGAAAAGACTATTCTTTCCTCATTGAATTATCTTGGCACCCTTGTCAAAAATCAGTTGACAAGAGACATATATCATTTTGGGACTCTCTTCATCTATATGACTGTCTTGACACCTGTCTTCATTATTGTTGGTTTATGGTAAGTTTAGAAAATGGGATAGTGGGACTAGCAGATTACGTAGTGGTTATGTTGCTGGACATCCATGTAGACAACTGCAGTTTGAATCCTGAACCCAGCAGCTTAAAACCCATGCTGGGTGCATGTGCATGTGTGCCCAAAATCCTGAGAGAAGAATGGAAGAGAAGGGATTATGGTGTGGTCATCCCAGCTGGGGTGGGGGGGTGGGGGGGGATTCTTACTTTTCTGTCTCTCCAGCAAGCACACACACCCTATAGCAAAAAATCTCTCTCTCTCTCTAAAAAAAAAAAGAGATATGTGATTTTTACCTTTTATTCTGGTGGTTTGCTTTCTCATTTTTCCTCTTACTCTCTGTCTCTCTCTGGTGATGTATATGCCCTGTAGCAAATAAAAAATGATAATAATAAATGAAATTAAGAAAGAGTTGATAAAATAGATGCAGATGACATCTTTATTTAAGTCTGTTATTTAAGAAGCACAGTGCATACCAGCCTTTCTTTTTAGCTGTGGAGAACAACACTTACGTCAGGCTATGACCCATTTGCAGGTAATTTCAAACTTAGCAAGTATATAAATTTAATCTTTTCTGTTTATTTGAGTACGATGGTATTCAGAAAATAAATACCTTGTAGCTTAGATGTCTTTAAAAATAAAAGTATGGGGCCAGCAAGTGGCGTGGTGGTGAAGGCCCTGGATTCCCACATGGCTGACTGTGGTTCCAGTCAGGGGCCCAGTGGCTCGAAACTCATGCCAGGTGCATGTGCGTGTGTGCCCCAAATCCCAAAAGGTGAGTGGAGGAGAAGGGATTGCGGCATGGCCATCCCCACTGTGGGGTGATTTCTCACGTTCCCGCCCTCTGTATCTGTTTCTTCTCTGGCAAGTTCATGTGCCTTAGGGCAAAACTAACTAACTAAATAAGCATGCAAGTATTTTGAGTAAGGAAATAGCCTGGAATATAAGAAACCATGGAGATGATAGTTACAAGAAAAGCAGAAGCCAAGAGAGCAAATCTTTTATAAAACTGAAGGAAGACACGAAGGAGGACAAGAGTAAGTCTGTTGGATGACAGATGAGAAAATGACGTAGGCCCTCTGGCGGTGAGGTGGGAGATAGGCCCCACACACAGTTGGGGCATAGGCCCAGGGGAAGGGGCCAGCTCTGGTCAAGGTGGAGTCACTCTGGTCAGGCTTTTAATGGAGACCATTCACCGTGCTCACTAGTAATCAGTTATGCGCTCACTGTGTGTTCACAGCTAGCTTGCACGAAAAACTGCTTGCACAGAACACAGCTCACCACAGTGAGTACAGTCTGCAGCACCAATGGTAAGGTTAAAAGAATGCAGATCCTGGGGCCAGCAGGTGGCATGGTCGCTCACTCGCTCTCTCTTACCCTCTCTGGTAAATTGAAATAAACAAACAAACAAACAAATAAATAAATAAAGTTAAATAATACTTAAAAAAATGCAGATCCTAAAGGTCAGTTAGCCCTATAGAAAACTTTAGCAATAAAGTACCCCAATTACAAGTTTAAAAAGGGAACAAAGAATGCAGACTTCATAGACAACTTGTGAGTTATTTTATTTTTTTATTTTTTGGAGAGATTTTCACTGTAGGGCGCGTGCGCTCGCCAGACAGACAGAGACATAGAGACAGAAAGCGAGAAATCACCGCCCAGGGGGGATGGTCACGCCGCAATCCCTTCTCCTCCATTCTCCTCTCAGGATCTTGGGCACGCACGCACATGCGCCCGGCGTGAGTTTTTTAAGCCACCGGGTCCGGGACGCGAACCGCGGTCGACTACGTGGGAGTCCAGCGACATAGCCATTATGCTAACTGCTGGTTCCCTTGTGAGTTATTTTTGAAGTCCGCTTCCTTATTAGAAAGCCAGTCCTTGCTTGGACTGCTAGATGAAAACCCCTGATGAGAGCCCCAAGTCAGCAACCCACGTGGGACACCTCGCATTGTGTTGGAAGCGTCTTTTCCCTCCCCTAATAATCTTTGCTTGCTATCCTCTCCATTTGGGCAAGAACCAGCATGGGTTGTGGGCCTGATCACGCCAGCTCCCCCACTTCAGTGACATGGTTAAGATGGCTGGATCCCACATGGCTAGCTGTATGGTTTGAGTTCTGCAACCCATGACTTG